CGATAACGATGGTGCATGGCTAAGCGCATCGATATCGAACGCTGTTGACATTTGCAAAATGTCCGAATGACAGCGACACCGAAACTTATAGATTTTGGGTGTTTTTGACCTCGGCGCACAACGAATCGCCGCGCCTCGGTGGGAAATAAATCGTTGCCTGGCCTCGGCGTGCAACAAACCGCCTCGGCGCACAACGAATCGCCACACCTTATAGATTCTTGCGTCTGACCTCGTGCGCCGGATCATGTCGATCGACGGTCCAGATTACAACTGCGAAAATGACATTGCCTGCCCCTTGTTTTCGGGAACTTTCACATCATTGCATGTCGGAGTAGACGAAGATTTTGGGGCCACTGACATAACAGTGGCTCCGTTCATCTGCGCGGTTGAAAATTATTGATCGACGGCTGACAATTTCCGGTGCCCCTTACCGTTTATGGGCGCAGGGGTGCGATACGCGAATCGATTCGGCCCCACCTTGATGGCGTTTTATGGGCTCAGAGGTGCGATATGCGAATCGATTCGGCCCCACCTTGATCCCGAAGCGAGGCCTGCTGCAACAAAGTATAAAAGGCGTTGCAGCCCTCGAGTTATCCCTTTTGTTGACACTCCACAGATCAAGTCGCGCTATCGCTTCCGCGCGCGTTCTGATATTTGGTCTTCAGCCCCCACCACCTTCCGCTATAGCCCGCTCACTCTTCGCTCTTCGCTCCATCCGCAGTTGCCACATTGTGTTCGGTTCGCTCTTCGCTCCTCGGTCTTCGCTCTTCCTAGCTCGATATCCCTCCACCATAGCTGGTTCGGTGGTTGGTTGCTCGCTCAACGCACGACGAAGTTAAAATCATATAACTTGAGTTGTCCTATTCTGTGTCCGACGTCCGAACACATTCCCAGATGCCCTGTCTGTACCTGCAGGATATAACGCCACAGCCGCGTTCTGTTGAACCCCGAATCAATTTCCGGTTTTGTTTGTTTCGCCAGTGGACGTGCTCTGATCTCTTTTCTCCACCCTCCACCTCCGTCCGCCATAGTCGATCCGCGTTCGACATCTCGATTACCTTTCTCCATAGCCACGATAACGTTCGTATAAAGCTGCTCGATCCCCTTCGCAAATTGCAGTCGTCGCTGCGCATGGGGAACCCCGAATCAATACATAGTTGCTACACTGAACACCGAATCAATTCCCGATTTTCTCTCACTTGTCCCTTGTGAGGTCGCTGACCTGATATCTACACATATATATATATAAAGATATAGATACATATATGTATATATTGAGATATATTGCTACACTGAACATCGAATCAATTTTCGATTTTCGCTCACTTGTCCCTTGTGAGGTCGCCGACCTAATATATATATATATAGAGAGAGAGAGAGAGATAGATAGGTACATATATATATATAGAGAGAGAGAGATATTGCGAGTCAGTTCGCAGTTTGCAACGTGTAGTGTTCGAGGAGTGACAAATGCGAGGTTATTCGCAATTTTTTCAAGGATAGACACATATTTCATTAAAGGCAGTTCTTTATTTCCACAAATGCGAGTTAGTTCGCACTTTTTGAGCAACACTGCTGGAGTGTTGACAACCCAACCCGTGCGGCTTTCAGGTCTTTAGTTCCACAATTCCGAGTTAGTTCGTACTTTTCCCTAGTGCTGCGCATCGCCGTTATTGTCTTGTCTACAGAACTGCGAGTTAGTTCGCACTTGTCGAAACCCTTCGCAATTGTCGATAAACCAGAACTTAAGTTCCACAATTCGGAGTCAGTTCGTCTTTTCCCGTTGTACTTCGGGTTGCAATTGTCGTCCTGTCAGCAGAACTGCGAGCTAGTTCTCACTTGTCGATTCGCACTTGTCGATAAACCACATCTTACTCGTTTCGTGCATCTTTCAGGTCTTCAGTTCCACAATTTCGAGTTAGTTCGCACTTTCCCCTAGTGTAGCAGGTTGCCATTGTTGTCTTGTCTACAGAACTGCGAGTTAGTTCGCACTTGTCGACACCCTTTGCACTTGTCGATAAACCACATCTTACTCGTTTCGAGGGCATCTACTTGGGTCGCAATCTTTCCGAACAGTTATCGTCTTCCCTCCGAACTTTTGTCTTTCCTATCCTTCACCCGATAGTTGTGACTTCGTGTGCATTTCGAACACCCATCTCTTACGTCCTTTTCGTCCTCCATTTCGTTAAGTCCGAGTTAGTTCACACTTTGCTTCTGTAGTGGTCTGGGCTTGGGCGTATTAGTCATCCGAGTTGGTCTGAGGCTGGGCGTGTTAGTCAACGGGTGGGAATACAATGGCATCCGCAAAGAACACATCCACAAGCGCTGGACCATCTGCCCCCGGGGAGGGACGACCTACACAGCAACCTACTCCTCAGTATATGCACGCAAAGGGAACACCATGGTTTTTGGACTTCGTTGTTCAGGGGGACCTTTTTGGGCCAACTGTTTTCATGCGACCCACTTGCGTTACAGACGCTGGGAGAGCGGTCAACGTTGTTCCTCTCGGTACCGTCGTCTCGTGCGCGAAGACTCCTGGAGGTTTCCTCAAGCTGCACACTAACGGCATGTACGACGAGTGCAGACTGCCTATCAGAGGTGTTAAAGGTGTGCTGGTGACCATCAAGAATTTCGCGGGGTACGGCTCAAACATGCCGTTGTGCTCTCACTTCAAAGGCCTTTACGATGGCGGCAACAACAGTCTTCCATTGCCAGAGCAATATCTTGATCTCGCGCTGATGGTGCCGAAAGAACGTCCGGTTCTTCCGCCATAGCATGTTTTCCAGGTTCTGCCACCCCGTGAGGGGTCGTCCGGCTTGGCTCAAGAAACTCCTGGTACGGCAGTGGGGCGCGGGAGTCCGATTCAAGACGCTGGGGGTCAGATCAAGGGACGCAGCGTTCACACGCACGTCGCCCCGGATGCTCCTAGGAACACATCGGACTTGCATTCTCAGGGTACAGGGACTCAACGGATCGGTACTCCGAAACTTATCAAGGTCCGCTGCGGCGCCGACACGTATTCGCTTCGAGATGAGACGAGAAGAGATTCAAGCAGATCGGGGCTAGATGTTGGAGGGAATGAGGCTGACGGGATGGGCGTTGTCCGCGGAAGCTCTGGCGGGGAGCAGACTCCTTCGGAGAAGAAGAGCGAGCGACAGAGGATGGTGCGAGAGGAGGTGGCGGAAGGAACCCTCCGCATGAAGAGGATGAGAGGAAAACCGGAGGCGGTGACGGGCGGGGATGGAGGTGGGGACGGAGAACGTGCCTCGGGAAAGAGGCCGACGAAGGAAGAGGGTGGGACGGCAAGTAAGAAAGCGAGGAGGCCCGATGGTTTGACCATCCGCAAAGGACAAGTCGTAGGTGGAGGAGATTCGGCTGATCCAGGCGCTGCGGCCGCGAAAGAACCTTCGGGGAAATCGAAACGGAAAGTGGCAAATGAAGAAGGCGATGGCGAGAAGAAAACTTGAAGGCGGAAGACTGCTGAGGCGGCGAGCGGTGGCGAAGGTCCTGTCGGTAAGGAGTACGACGAAGCGGCAGCGTTCTGGCTCGAATACGAGCGGAACGATGTGAGTGAAATCGTGGAGAAGGAGCTCCCCGTCCAACTGCTCATCGACCCCAGGAAGGTCTGCGAGATCCCGACCTTGGAAAGATATTACAACCACTGTACTCTAAGTTGCGAAACTATGGACGACATCAAGGGTACAGTGCTGAGTCAATTCCGCGAGAAAAAGGGGAAGATCTGGACGAAAAACCCTCTGGTTTTGGCACCCATCTGCAAGCCGGTGACGCGTAGGCCGGAGAAAGCTGACAGGGTTCACAAAGATGTCTTCAAGCCAGAGGACAAGGACAAGTACTTCTATTACCCTGGTAACGGACAACACACCGTGGCTGCTGTGAAGGAGTTGGAGGGTGAGCCAATATTCAATTTGTGGAAGATGCACTCGTGGCCGGCGAGAGTAGTGTGGTTCTCCGACCGAGATTTCGCGGGGTATAGGCTGGTCAGTCTCAACGAGAACACGAGACACAAGAGGTCTAAGCAGCGATCCAGTGGAGTACGTGAACACTCGCAAACGTACTCTTCCGCACGAGAAGGAGTCCCTCGACGACGCGAAGAAATTGTACGATGATGACAGGTTCCCTAAATCTTTCGAAAAGTCTGTCCGTTCCCTCTTGCGACGGATGGAAGAACAAGTTCGATACACGATCAGGGTCAGCGGGGATGTGAGGCACATCAAATGGCCCGACCTCAACCGGGTGACCAGCCTTATTCCTTTCGCTTTCCCGCCTTCCCAAGCGCACAGTCATGTCACTGTGATCCGTGAGGTTGTGCGACATTACGTGTGCAACCTGTACGTCCTCGATTTGTGTGATCCCACACTCCTCACAGACTCGCGAGAAGACGATTTCGCCAACTTGCAAGGCCTTCTACAAACACTTTCGCCAACACACTGGGCACTTGTGATCTTTTTTCCCTCTCGTTGGGAGCTCAGTTTCTTGAAAGGCATGGCCAGGCTTAGCGTCCATCACGTCAGGACAGGGAAGTGGGTACGTAATGCACAAAAGCAGGCCACTGTCCGGGAAGGCAATATGCTGATTGAGGAGTGTGACGGCCTGTACGTGATTTTTAATGGCGAGAAGCTGAAAGACAACACATTCGCAGTCTACCTGGCCAGTAGCCCGACAAAGGCTTCCCGTGCTCATGGTCCGAGTCCAGCCGAACACAGGGTGGCGGGCCGCTCGAAAGCTGTCTGTTCGTCGGACCCATCAGGATAGGTTGTGGAGTGTTTCGACGTGGCGGAAGAGGAAAGGTTGTCTCGTAGCATGTGGGAGGACGGCGGCGTGACAAGTTCTCAAGGACCTCCTTACGAGGAGATGGAGCGGAACCCGTCCCGTCTACTTGATCTACTCGTAAACTTTTGCAAAACTGGTCAAACTGTTTTTTTCTTTGGGAAGGCGCATTCGTCTGTCGTGCGGGAAGTCCAGCGCACCGGTCAGAACGTCGTCGCGTTGGAAAAGGAGGCGAAGATGATCGATTACCTTCACGAGTTCGTGAAGGCACGCGTTGCAGACACTCGCAATGCTTGCGAGTTTGCCCGCACCACCGGCGAACAAAACTGGGATCCCAAACGTGACAGGTAATGAAAATTGCCGGGAAACAAAAGGACGGACGTTTGGGACTTCCTTTTCAGACCCGGACTGCCTGGTCCGACCGACCTCGAATACAGTCGACGGAGAAACCTGGTATTCGCTGTGCTCAATGGGTACCACGGTGCACCCAGGGAGTCTGTCTCGCACTTCCTAAGAAGGTTGGAGCACGTTTACTTCACGCTGACCGAACCGCTCACTCTCGAAAACTACAAGTCACGGTTTGACGAGGAGGACCCTTTCGACGCTGACGACATGGAGGAGCTGAGCGACTCCGAAACCTTCGATTTCGAGTCCATGCCACTTCCTTGGGTGGTTGGACAGGTTGGTGATGAAGAGGAAGGTGGCCCTCGGAGATATAGGACGTCCCATGCCGGTTTGAAGCGTGTGTTTCGGGGCGAACCAATCGACGACCAATCGTCTGATGACGGGGAGGAAGAGAGAGACTATGATCACGAACCTTGTGACAGACTCCCTGTGGACCATGACACCTGGCAGAATGACAGACTCTACTTCTTCGGCAAGCATCACCGGTTCACGTCAGAGGATGTCTGGGGACACAACGTCGTCTGGCACCCGAGGATATTCCAACCTGCTGTGAGGAATGGAATATGGTTCATGGCAATAAAGGATGCCGATGGCAAGTGGAGTGGACTGAAGAGACTGGGAGCGGATGCATTTAAGAGAAAGGCAAGAACTGCTCTGGTGGAGCAATTGAGTCTCATGAACCCCGAGAGGAACGATCAGGACGTCGATGCGTATGCAGAACAAAAGCTACATGAGTTGTACGCCAACAACATTTTGGAGTTTCGAGCGCCTTTCTACGCACTCGAAACGGCACCGTCTCGCGGCATTGACAGGCGCATGTCGCAACCTCCGCCGGCCGGTCAGCATCCGGTAGGGGGTGGTGGAGGAGATGAAGGAGACGGCGGAGGTGGTGGAGGAGACGGCTCACAGTTTGCCGGAAAGGGGATGGGCGAGACATCGTCGGTTGAGAAGGCGTCCGGCGGAAAGGGGTCGGGCGGAAAGGGGTCGGGCGGGAAGGGGTCAGGCGGGAAGGGGTCGGGCGGAAGCGTAGAACGCCTGGGAGTCCCCAGTATATGGAAACTGACCCCCACTGCGTAAAGAGTCGAGATTCCGACATGCGAGACGAGGCCACCCTGACGTCTGATCAAGTGCGAGTAGATTCGCACTTGTCTGCAAGGAGTTTGTTTCCCGTTGCCCAGGAGAGTCCATCCCGCCGTGCGTAGCAGAGGTCTCCTGTGCTCAACACCTTGCTCCTGAAAGAGGGYGCGTCTTCGTTTTGCTTGGAGGGCGGGATGCCTGCATTGCGAAGGAGCGAAGGTGCGACCTCCGGTTCCCTCGGCTCAGGCGACCGCCACAAACTCCGAATACATTCGGATTTGCTGCCGTTGCCCTACGCCATAAGTGGTCCTCACGGAAGAGTTCCGCGGGGCCAAGAAAATGTGACGTCCTCGCCCCCGCATCTTCAGTTGGACACAGGGTTACCCTGCTCGCCTCCTTTCTCATGTGTTGAGACTCGAGACGGCGGTCTCGCGACGTGCTGGAGGAGCCCGCTCCAGGAGTGTTGGAGACCGGGGGTAGCGAGAACGAACGTCACACTCCTGGGGAAGACGAGCGCTCTCCGGGAACGCGTGCTGTACATCGGGAAGAGGAGACTCAACGCTGGCAGTCCCGCAAAGTGTTGGAGACCGGGGGTAGCGAGTGTGAACGTCATGCTTCGGAGGGTGCGTCCGTGGACACTGACTGCGAGAGTGCAGGAGCTCCGGGGGAAACACATGTTGTACAGCGAGGAGAGGAGACTCGACACGGGCCGGCTCGTGAAGACATGAAGTGGCTCCACGCACGAGCGCTGGTGATCGGGACGTCCGAAGAGGTTCTGCACAGTCGCTCGGTTGTGGCCACGACGCGAGAGGGTGTCGTTAAGGGAGGTAAGTGGACCTCCGTGCAAGCTCCCGTTCTTGGCGACGATGAAGACGAAGAAGAACCCACGGTGGAAGCTCAGGTTCATGGCGATGAGAAAGGCGGTGAGGTGACTGTCGACATCCGGACGGATCCACAGCGGAAAAATGGTGATTCTTCGCCCACCCGTTGCGGTGAAGAACAGGGTGGTCGAGCGTCTGTCCTGAGCACCGCTCGAGGAATGGTGCTTCATGAAGTCATACAGTTGGGTGACGACTCGACAGCCACCGAGCTGGTTAGCGACTCAGGCGTGGCCGAGATGTAGAACGTCGAATCCTCCGTGGAAGGCGGTGAGGTGGCCGTCAGCATCAAGATGGATCCAGAGCGGAAAGATCATGATTCTCCGTCCACCCGTTGCAGTGCCGAACAGGGTGATCGAGCATCTGTCCTCAGTACCGGTCGGGAAATGGTGCTTCATGAACCCATCGACTTGCCAAGCGACTCAACTGCCACCGAGCTGGTTAGCGACACAGCCATGGCCGAGGTTCAGAACCTCGAATCGTCCGTGGACGTTGGCGCAGTGGCGCGACAGGAGGGCGAGTTCCCTCAAACGGCTCCCGAGCACGGTAAGATTTGTGAATAGGACCACTCGCATATCTGTCACTGGCCAGCTCTGTGTTCGTCCAAATTGATGTCATGGGCTAATGTACCTGTTACCACTAGTTAAAATTTTTTTGTGGGCTGTGGGTTGTTTTCTATGTTCTAGAGGTGTGAGGTCGTTAATGTCCCGGCCCATGAAGCCTTTAAAAGCCGTGCGTGAGAAAGGTCTTTCAGGGAGGTCATTGGCCGCTTCACCGAAGAAGTCCTCAAATGTAGGGTTGTTTAAAAGGGTCCAGATGCCTCACCTTTCCCAGAGAGCTGTCAGGGTTCTGAAAGCTTGTGGAATAGATAAGGAGGAAGGTCTGCGGAAACATTTGGCTGCGTCTATTGAGAGCGTTACTGCTTTGTCTGACGGGTCTGATGACGATGGCAAACGGGGTGTCTTGAAAGACCCGTGTCTTAAGTACATCGCGAAGGACACATTTAATAAGCGGGGATACAACTTTTCTGGGAAAAGGGCAGACAGTTCTTAGCCATTTCACCACGGGGTTTGTGGTCACTCCTCACACTTGTTCATGGGTGTTTGTGTAGCTGGGGCTACATCATGTTTTCGCGTTCCGTTGCCTACTGAGGAGCTTAGCGCTACGAACTTGAGAATGTTGTGGAACGTCTGTGGAGATTACATCAACGGCCACGAGGTGGTGTGCTCGGTTCGCAAAGGGGTCAGTTCAATTCCGTTGAGCAAAAAAAGTCTTCAAACTCTTGTTCATGGGGAATGGCTTTCCGACGAGGTGGTGAAGTCTTACTTGGTCTTGCTTGCCAATGATGCGTTACGAGGGTGTCCCTCTCTTTACATTTTCAGTCCATTTTTCTATACCAAGCTCGTTCGTGGCGGCTATCGACATGATAGGGTTGCGATATGGATAAAAGATGTGGATATTTTCTCGCACGAGATGGTCTTGATTCATGTTCATAAACATGAAGTGCATTGGACCCTATTGTGTCTCCGAGAACAACGGCTGGAGTACTACGACTCCCTCGTACAAGACGATGGCGGTTTTTCTTCCGATGTGATTGCGAACTTCACGCAATACCTCCGTGACGAAGCAGTTTGTCATTATGGTCCAAAAACGAAAGTGGATCTCCAGGAGCCCAAGGTGGTTGTTCGTGGTGTCCCTCAACAATCGGATGGGTCGAGCTGCAGTGTTTTCATGCTCGCCTTCGCTTCATTTCTTGCACGCGGCTGTCCGCCACCATTTCCGATAGCCCAAAGCGACATTCCAAACATCCGGCTGAGGATTCCGGTGGACATACCCCAAGGCGCTGAATGATACCACTGTTGTAAAAATACGCATAGTTTTTTTTTCGAAATGCCATAAGCAGAAGTGCAAATTTATTCCCACTTGATCTAGCAGTCAGCCAGTTCGAGCTGTGTTGTTGTTTTCATGAGGTGACGGATTGCAGTGGACGTTTTGGTCAAGAACAGGCTTAGGTGTCGATGTGAATATCCCATCCTCGTGCTGTATCAATTTTTTAAGGGTTCTTTATTTCGTGGAACCTGTCATCTTTACTCGTAGGACTTTCGGCAGCGCCGTGCTTCCTTTGTTTGTTTTCGGGTTGTTCTCATTGCTTGCCACGCAACATCAGCTAGAGGGTAGGAACGAACGCTTACGTGAAGTAGAAGCTTAGATGCAGATGTAAATATCCCAGCCACGTGGTGCAGTTCCTTTTAAGTAGACACTTACATATCGGATGTGAATATCCCAACTTTGTGCTCCTTTTGTTTATTTTCGGGTTGTTCTCCTTATGTCCTCTCAGACCGCGGTAGCACCGTGCTGCGTTTGTTCGTTTCGAGGTTGTGTTCCTCTTTTACTCATGTGAAAGATATCGACAATTTATTCTTGGTCGCCAAATTGTTTCGTGCTTATCTCTTTCGTTCGCGAGACTTTGTGGTGTGAAAGCCCCTCTCCCTCGCCCCACCCCGACCACCCAGCTTTCATATGTTTTGGTTCGTCCTTGTTCTGAGTGTAACGCCCCGTTTTACGGTTCACTTCCTCTGCTTGTCTCGATTGAATGCTGTATGTTGGTTCCTTATTACCGTTGCGAACTTGTTCTTCATTCAGAAACCAATTGTCGCCAGAATGTATCTCTGCTTGAAGTTGTTTTACGGATTCAGCGGTGCACTGAGTGATCACCAATTTTGTTATCTTTGGAATACATCTCGTGCTCTTTACGGAATGCTGACTGTTGTTTTCGTGTGAGAAATGAGAACTTATTCGCACTTCAGATGTCGTACATTTGTGATTGAACTGTTGGTTCCATATTCGCACTTTGGCTGTACTTTGTGATATTTGAAAAACCTCTGTGCACTTTGCAATGTGGGATTGTATGATATTTCTCATTCAATGACTTTTTGAAACGTCTGTGCGTGCTTTGCAATTTGCCCTCGAATGAATTTCCGGCATTGAATGGTTTCTGGTTCCTATTCGTGTGCTGTGACACTTCACCTTTGGAAAAACACTTGGCAACTTGAGATGTTTTCACCTCGATGTTTGCGATGTCTCTGTGTGCTTTGCAATTTGACTTGTGCTTGAAGTTTTTTAACGGATTCAGCGGTGCACTAAATGATTGCCTGTTATCCCCGGAATACATCTCGTGCTCTCCACTGGATGCTGGTTGTTGTGTCCATATGAGAAATGCGAACATATTCGCACTTTGGATGTCGTGCATTTGTGATTGAACTGCTGGTTCCATATGGGAAATGAGAACATATTCGCACTTTGGCTCCATGTACTTTGTGATTTTTGGAAATTCTCCGTGCACTTTGCAATGTGGCATTGTATGATATTTTGCGTTCAATTTGGAAAGTCTCTGTGCTTTGCAATTTGCCCTTGAATGAATTTTCTGCATAGAATGGTTTCTGGAAACTGATCTTCTGCTCTGAGACTGCACCTTTGAAAAAACAGTGCGCAACTTGAGATGTTTTCACCTCGATGTTTGCGATGTCTCTGTGTGCTTTGCAATTTGACTTCAGATGTTTTCATCTCAATGTTTGCGATGACAAGAGATACTTGTATGAATGGATATGAATCTTCTACACAGACAGATTTGATGGCGTTTTCAACCTTTGATATAGAAATGACAAGCCAATGTCCATATTAAATCGTCGCGCTGATGGACTGCGCAACTGCTTCTCCATCAAAGTGCGAGTTCAATCGCACTTCTGGTGTGAGCCCTGAGCAATTCCCTCGCACTTTGCTTCACGTCGAGAAGGGGATCGAACGCACCGCCTGTAAGCACCTGCACATCACGAAACAAGAGCACGTCCCAATTGGAACATCGTCGGGTCCTCACCTCATCAACTCTCAAAATGACTAAAGCCAACAGCGGTAGGATGGCAGGTCCGCCTATCCGATGTGGATCTCACGGTGGAGTGTGAAACTCTGCTCTCAAAGATCCACACCGGGTAGAAGGTCCTGCAAGCAGCCGCTGCTTGCTTGTAAGACCTCTTATGATGTGTCGATATAACTGACATCAAGAACTGTTTGGTGAGCATCTAGTGTTACGTCAATAAGTTTCAAACACGGCAGCAAAGTCCCCTAAGAGTGTTCTTTGCCGGGTCCTCACCATATCGACTCTCAAGATGACTACAGCCAACAACGGTAGGATGGGAGGTCCGCCTACCCAATGTGGATCTCACGATGGAGTGCGAAATTCTGCTCTCAAAGATCCACACCGGGTAGAAGGTCCTTCAAGCAGTCGGTGCTTGCTTGTAAGGCATCTTATGATGTGTCGATATGACAGACATCCAGAACTGCTTGGTGAGCATCTAGTGCTCCAAAAATATGTTCCAAACACGGCACCAAAGTCCCCTTACAGTGTTCTTTGCCGGGTCCTCACCTCGTCGACTCCCTCAAGATGACTACAGCTGACAGCGGTAGGATGGCAGGTCCACCTATCCGATGTGGATCTCACGGTGGAGTGCGAAACTCTGCTCTCAAAGATCCACACCGAGTAGAAGGTCCTGCAAGCAGCCGCTGCTTGCTTGTTAGGCATCTTATGCAACAGAAAAAATTTCCAGAATTAAATCATCATTCTAGAGTAAAATTACATTCTAAATTTCAAATTTTCATTCCATCTTAAAAAATATCATTCCAATTTTAAAATTTTTCGTCTTACTTAAAAACTTTCCTTCCAAGAATGGGGTATCGCTTCTTATTTGAACTTCATGCTAGAGATGGAATGAAAGTCTGGATGAGTTCATGAAATATTTTAATTGGACTGTCATTCTAAGTAAGGATTTCCTGTCATAAATAGGTTAATCCAATCTAAATTACATGATATTTGTTGTAGTACAATGAAATTCTAATTACAACATTTCATAAACTCGTCAAGACTTGTATTCTATCTTGAAGAAATAGATGTAGTTGGAAGGATAACCTCATATTTAGATGGGAACTTATCAAATTAAATTGGAAATTTTATAATTAGACAAACATTGGAATGATAATTTATAAATATGAAGGATTTTCTTTTTTATGGAATGTTTTTTCAACTTTTATTTCTCATGGAAATTTTTCTGTTGTGATTTGTCGATATAACCGACATCCAGAACTCCTTGGTGAGCATCTAGTGCTATGCCAATAAGTTCTAAGAACACGGCAGCAAAGTCTACTGAGAGTTTTCTTTGCCGGATCCTCACCTCATCGACTCCCTCAAGATGACTACAGCTAACAACGGTAGGATGGCAGGTCCACCTATCCGACGTGGATCTCACGGTGGAGTGC